AGAGAAACAAGGAGGGACAAAACTGTAGACCAAAAATGTCTGCAGTAGATGAGGTCTCGCAAGGATGTACAATTAGGCTATTAGATATATGGGAGGCAGGAACCAGTGACTGTTAGAGATAATAGGGGATGTAGCAAGGTCCACTTATATTCCCATTATTTCCTATTCTACATGGACATTTGGGAATTCTAAATGTAAGCCTAAGTTCACATTCCGGCGAGATTTCATGATGTACCCGTATTTATCTACAGAATACTTGTGTATGCTTTCTTTTTGGCTTTGATAACGCAGCAAACTCCGAAGTCTGCTAGGCACACTGTAACACACTGTATACAGCTTGCAGACACATGCGGTTCATGAGCAAAGCTCATAGTGCATTGGTTTTCACTTGTGCGAAAGGTGCGCCATAATAAGATCCCCATATTATACCCCATATTCTATCTGCTTAAGAGGGAGGATATGCATGACTGATTGCAGCTCCTGAGCTGCTGATGAATGCAGTCATGGCAAGACTGCTTATAATTGAGGGCGTAGCTCTAAACCCTAGCAGGAGAAAGTTGGGGTGGTAGCCTGTGATGTCTCACAGCCGGCGGGAGGTGTTGAAGAAATCCCAGTTTCGATGGATTCTCGGACAACGTCCCTGATGTTCGCTGGGCGCAGGACGTGCCAAAACCGCCTAAACTCTAAACCCCATAGGTAGTGCGGTGTGGTGGGCCAGTGATTGATTACATGAGGTTACATTCATAGTAGACGAATACCACCAGTGGCATTGGACCTTTTTTCTTGGCTGCATGCTCAAGGAAAGACACAACCTTCATGTTGCTTGAGATCAGCAGACACAACAAAGTGAGCCCAAGTGTTGCATGTGTGACAATGATTGCTGTGCACCAAGCCTGTCCAAAGCACCACGCAGAACAATTACTCGTGAGTTGTACATGCGAGAAGGTCGTCAAGCTAAGCAGCAGCCTGGTTTTGGAGCTACCGTCCAAGCCTCAGGACTTGTGTAGAGCGTGACCTGCACGTGTTCTGTTCAGTTAGTAAGCAGGCCGGAAGCTGCGTAGAGGTGAGCTGTACCTACAAAGGCCCAAAGAGTTGTGTAGAGCGTGAGCTGCGCATCCAGTGTTGGTACACTAAGCAGAACGAACGAACCGCATAGACCAGCAGTCGTACCTTTGGCGCTGATCTAGCAGCTACTGTACAAGCCTCAAGAGTTGCGTGGAGCATGAGCTGCACAGCTGCACGTGCTGTTGCATTACTAAGCAGGCCGACAGAACTGCGTAGAGGTGAGTGCACATTGAGCGTCGGTACACTAAGCAGACCGAGTGAACGGCTTAGACCAGGAGTGACATACTTTAGCGCAGGTCTTTTAGAGCTGCCGTGCAAGCCCAAAGAATTTTGTACAGCGTAAGCTACGCACCCCGTGTTCGTGTTCTACGCGGACCAAACGATCTGCATAGAGCATGACATACACGGAAGCGCAAGCACTCGAGCGCACACATTCCTTTTTATCTGAGACGTCCTCGAATTCAAGTCCACCTGGGCTGACGAAGCTGTCTTCGTTTACCTGCAGGTGCGGGTGCGCTGCGTCCGGAGCTTGGACAGTCTCTTGAGAGTAAATACTGTTCTTTTGAAGTGAGACTTCTTCACGGCGGCCGGCCGCTTCATGTTCCAACTGCGGACCTTGGAGACTTCCTCTGCGCGTGGCTCGTTGTAGGGGAGGGCCGCCTTTTCCACATGCGCCTCGTGCCTTAGTTCACTGCACCAGGACTGCCACGCGACATCCGTCCAGGGGGAGTTAGCAACCGCTCGCGCCAGAAGAACTTTGCTGGCGCACTGACTGATGGTTGGATGTGCCATGGCCAGAAAGTGTGGGATCTGTTTGCCCAAGGTTAACATGAGCAGCTTAAGGCATAGAGCGCTTTGGTGGATCTGTTGCGTCTCAGAGAACCAATTCTTCACCTCAGCGTGAAGGGCTTCGTTCGAGGACGTTCCCGACGGTAGGAGAGCCAGCACGCGTCGACCTTAGGTCGCATAGTCACATGCTAGCTAGACGAGAAAGATATGGGCTCGAGCCGGCTGCGCTTGATCTAGATTCCTTTGGCTTGCGTACTTCTGAGTCGCGAGCCGAGACTGTGACGCCAGCGGCTGTTGTTGAAAAGCCACACGGCACGATCCGGATCAGTGGCGCACCAGAGGATATGCGCCACGCGCTTGTTAGCACCTGTTACCTTCCTGTTCATGTCCTCGGGAAAGGTTGCAGATAAGGCAGCTAGAGCCTCGATGAACTCGAATCTCGACAAAAACGGCCTGGAGCTATCCAGGTTCTCAACGATACCCCGGGCTTTGGCTTTGGCCATGGCGCCGCTCTCGATGAAGCCTCTGCAGACATTCCCTGCATGGCTAAGTGCACCGCTGGCGTCATTGCTGTAGCCCCTGTAGAAGTTGCCCCAATGTTCTGCCGGCAGATCAGAGTCCACGGCGTTGAACTTGGCCATGATCTTGCGCAAAGCGACTGCTCCGGCGGTTCGCTTGCGCCACGTGGCGTACCTGACTTCAACCGCTTCCGTAATCGGGCCCCCTTATACGTAGAGCTGCTACACGCGCGCTTCCCGTTGCAGAGAGGCGTCTAAGGCTACTCTCTTTTTTGCTTTTGCTTGAAAGATCTAGTTCTGAAGGAAACCAAGCTGCTCATATACTATGGGCAGGTGAACGGGGTCAAGCGTCAGACACTGCAGGTTTGGCATGATGCGCCGCAGATGTGTGTAGAGCTTGATTGAGGCAGAGTCAGAGGCAACGCACTGAACCTGCAGCAGTCCTTTGGCGGGTAGAGCCTGGCCAAGAGCTGGGGTCACCACCTCGGCCTTCTCTGAGGGCACGGCAATCATGGCCGAGACTGCACCAGTGCGCCCTCGCACTGTCAGCACCCATCGCAGGGCGGCGATGTCATCGAAGGGAGCTGCGTTCCTCTTTTTCTTGGGCGCGCGATAGGATTCTTGCCCCATGATGCCCATGCAGCATTTGATAGTGGCATCCAAAGTCACCACGCCAAACTCATTCGACGCACAGAATGCTTCCAGTATGTCGGCGCTGAGGCTCTGCACTGCTGTTGAGGTGAAGACGTCTTCGATAATGGGCCACCAATGTCTGACGTCTGTGGGCAGAAGCGACGCGAGCTCGGAGCCGTTTGCGGCAATGAATATTGCCATTCGGGGCTTTGCCTTGGAACACTACTCTATGATAGAGACGTCTACACAGTCACTTACGTCAAAAAATCTGAGTATTGCCAAGGC